TATTCTCTGCTTTCAGCCAAGATCTGTATGACGTCAGAAACGTTCCACGTTTCTTCTGAATCCAGCTTGAGTGTCTGGAAGTTCTGTGTCAATGTATGCTTGCAGCCATTTCTATATTACCTTTAGTAAAACTTTACTTGCACGGGATAGCAATGATATTGTCTGATGATTACCACATCCCGTTGGGTCCCCTCTCTTTGCAGTGGACACAAATAACGGATCTCTTCCAGTCAGTTGGCCAGGTAGCTGTCTTCCAAATTTCTTGGCATAGATGAGTGAGTGCCTCCAGTGCCACCTCACTTTGTTGAAAGATTTCAATTTGTTTTCCATCAATTGTTGGTGCTTTGTTCTTTGCCAACGCCTTCAATGCACCTTCAGTGCACCAATGAAGGACTTCTTCCTTCAGGATCATTGGCTCTTGATCATATGCTACCTCTTGAAATGGTTGAACATTAACCGTTTCCTTTTGGTACAGTGACTCTATGTATTCTTTCCATTTTCTTTTGATGCTTTCTGCATCATTCAATATTTTGCCCACAGAATTCTTCAGTATTTTGCAAGTTGAGGCTTGAATTTTTTCTTCAGTTCCCCCAGCTTGAGAAATGCAGAGAGTGTGTTCTTCCCTTTTGGTTTTGTAAATCCAAGTCTTTGCTCATTTCATTATAATATTTGACTTTGTCTTCTTGAGCTGCCTTTGGGAATATTCTGTTCAGTTCTTGGACCTCCTCATTTCTTCCATTTGCTTTAGCAGCTCTACGTTGCAGAGCAAATTCCTGTCTCTTCTGACATCCAGGTTGGTCTTTTCCTTCTTTCTTGTCTTCCTATTGACCTTTTGCTTTCTTCCTTTATGATGCTCTTGATGTCATCCCACAATTCTTGTGGTCTTCAGTCCTTAGCGTTTGATGCTTCAAACCTGTTCTTCAGAGGATCTCTAAATTCAGGTGGGATATGGTCAAGGTTGTATTTTAGTTCTCGTGGACGTGTGTTTATTTTCTTCGGCTGCAGCTTGAATTTGCAGATGTACAATTGATGGCGTGTTCCATAGTCTGCCCATGTTTTTCCGTCATGTCTTTCCAAAGATGTAGTCAGTTTGATTTTGTGTATTCCATTTGGTGAGGTCCATGTATATAATGGTTTCTAATGTTGTTTTTAAAAAGTATTTGCAATGAAGAAGTCATCATGCTTTGCAAAATTCTATCATGTGATCTCCAGCATCATTTCTAACACCAAGGCCATATTTTCCAACTACTGGTCCTTTTTATTTTCAACCTTTGCATTCCAATTGCCAGTAATTATCTGCACATCTTGAGTGCATGTTTGGTCAGTTTCAGACTGGTGAAGTTGGTGGTTATTAAGGGCCGTCGAGTTGGTTCTGGCTGGTAGCAACCCTGTATAGGGTTTCTGAGGAGCAGTTGGTGAGCTTGAGCTGCCGTCCTTTGCAGTCCAAAGCATTAACCCACAGCGCCACACCAGGACTTGGTCTTTCTTGTAGGCATGTGAATATTATCATATCTTAGACTGCAGTGTACTTTAAGAAGACAGATCTTGGTGTGTGTTTTGTTTTCAGTTTTTATTGTGAATTGAGTGATAGTTTACGTGGGAGAACATCAGTGATCTCTACATTGGTGTATTCTTCTTGCTGATGAATATGATACCATTCCTCCAGTGTGTCATTCCTGTCATAGTAAACCATGTGATTGTCAGATTCAAAATGGCCACGCCAGTTCGTTTCAGCAAAACAATGCCTAGGATATTGATGTTTATGCATTACATTTTTGACAACTTTCAGTTTTTCTGGATTCATACTTTGTGCATTCAGTGTTCTGGTTATGAATGGATGTTTACAGTGGTTTCTCTTCATTTTGAGTTGTTCTACATCAGCAGAGGAAGGTCCGGAAGACTTCATTCACTCCCTGCTCGTCATCATGGTCAACTCTACTTTGAGGAGGCAGCTCTTCCCCAGTCGTGTTTGAGTGCCTTCCCACCTGAGGGCTCATCCTCCAGCGCTCTGACAGTGTTATGGCGCTCTTCATCAGGTTCCAGAAGTTCATATTCTGGTACTTTCTGACGGGGTTCAGTGCTATGCAGCAGGTTTTCAGTGACTAAGATTCAGAAGTCGTCTCTTTCCTTCCTAGCCACCTCGGGGGACTGCTGATATTTCAAATACTGGTGGTATAGCTTCCAGAATTACAGAAAATCACAGGACATGTGGATGTTCTCCTATCTCAGACTGCGTGACGGACTGACAGACGAGTGGGGGTCCTAAGGAGCTTTTTTCTCCTCCCACCCATTGTATCCACTAATGTTTGTATCTTTAACTGGGTTTTCTGGACTATTAAAACCCAGTAAAAAATGTATAGCTAAATATATTTAGGGAGAGATTTCCCTCATGGAGATGGTTCACTTACTTGTGGAGGCTCCCAAATCAGTGGCAGGTGGCAGGCTGGAGGCTTCTGCGGGCTCGTGTCTCGGGAACTGCGGGTCAGGTGGTGAGAAGAGTGCTGGATGGAGAGAGAACATGACCTTCACCAGAACTTGTGTTTGTATATGGGAAGCAGGCCACGGCCCCAGGAGAGCCCCTGTCAGCTGGTGGCTGCTTACCTCGCCCCGAGTCATAGCCAAGCTTCCTGAGCAGTCACAGTTGGGGTGTCGATAGATCTGCTGGTTCCCTGTCAATGAGGTCATGTGGTCTCAGTGTCGGTTCTGTCTCTCCGTATGGTTGAGCAGTATTCCATAGTACCTAGTACGGACAACATTTGGTTGATCCAGTCACCTGCTGAGGGAATGGTTTTTAATGTCTACTCAGATTACTCTGCTGTGTAGAAAGATGGAGAGTCCCCTGACATGAAGTGACCCACTTTACAGTGTGCAGCTCAGTGGCATTTTTGTGCATTCTCCACCTGGCTCTTAACTGCAACGCCTTTTCACCCGAAGGAAACCTGTGCCCCTAGTGGTCACTCCCGTACCCACGGCTTCCAGACCCGGCAGCCAGCAGCCCGCTTCTCTGGATGCTTCCTAAAGTGGCACCGTAGACTTTTTGAGGATGGCATCCCTCGCTGAACATTGTGTACTTGAGGGCCATCCATGTCATCGTCATATCAGAAATTGATTCCAGTTTGTGGCAAGCAGTTGGTGATGTACATGAGCACCTCGTTTGAGGGCCCAGTATTGGAAACTGAAGGGGTGATGTAAGAGCCCTGTGGTGGTGGGGTGCTGCTCCCCGGCCTGCCCGTGACCCCCACAAGAAGTGTGGGGGAGGGACCTGTTGCTGTGTGTGCTGCCCTGGTGCTGGGGGAGGGGACATCGAGAGACTCACTTCTAGCATGTTGGCACCTCACCTCAGGAACCCCCCCATCCACCGACACTGCCTTTTATGGTTGCTGAGTGAACCTGAATCTGACTACATACATGTGATCATGTGTCACCATGTGATGTTTCCTGATGCTGAAAATTCACAATGTGACATGTTAGAGCTTCACTTAGAGTGCACATGTGTCATTCTGTGGCACTTCCAGGGTACATTTAGGTGCTACTGGTGTGTGGAGTACATATGTGTTGCGAGTTACGATGTGACATAGGATGCATATGATCTACATGTTACTTTCATGCCCGAGTCCACATGTGATCCAAATGTTGCTTTGCGGCACTCCCAAGTATATACGTTATAAGAACGCACCGTTGTGATGAGCTGAGTACATGCGTGTAACACACATTATCGTGACACTCAACACATATGGTATATGTTATTGTGGTGCCGGGAGTGCATGTGTGATGTTTTTTACCTTGCCATGCCAAGTGCATGTGTGTATTTTAGTTTATTGCATGACCCGGCCTGAGAGTGTATGTGTGATCGATCCATAGGCTACTGCAGGATGCCAGGCGTGCGCATTGATACAAGTGTTGCCTTATGTAACACTCCGGATGCATGTGTGGTATGTGTTACTAATGTGGAACCCCGAGTACATACGTGTGTGTGTGTGTGATGTTCCGCAAGCTGGATACTGCAGGATGTGTGTGCTTTTCTGCATACAGGGCTACCTCAGTTAAAAGTAAAAACAGACACACACCTGCAGCCCCCGTGTGAATGGCATCCTCTGAGGCAGCACTGGGCTCTGCCGCCTTCTCCTGGGACCGTGGGTGGGTGGTCTGTGGTGCTGTGCTAGCCGCCCCTGTGGAGCACCGTGGAGTTTTGGCATGGGGCCGACATCGGGTCCAAGCCTATCAGCTCTGGTCTCTGCAGCAGGTGACGGGGCCATATCTGCATGTGGTCGGCAGGGGAGGGAACCTGGTTTGACTGTGAATTCAGATGGACAGTATTCTCCTTGAGCTTGTAAACCGTATAATTTGCCTTCCTTTAGACATTTGCTGTGAAATGCCTTCATTTCTGACCTGAAGCTTTGCTGTTTAGTGTAGAGTCCTGGTGTGGCGCTGTGGGTTAAAGCCCTGGACTGCAAAGTCGCTTTGAACCACAAGCTTGGCGATTCAAGCCCACCCACCACCTGCTCCACAGAAATTCTATATAGTGTCGCTATGGGTTGGAAATCGACTGCACGGAACTTAACATGCACACCTGTGCTATCTTTCCTGCTTCTGTGGGCTTGTTCATAATCTTGGCGCCCTGTGCGGCAGCAGAGCAGTGGTGCCTGGAAGGGGGAGGGGTGTGTGTGTGTGGAGGTGTCTGTCAGAGGTGTCTTGGAGGCTTGCTGTTGGTGTCTTCCCACCTCTAAGGACTTGTGTTTCTCAGGAGACCTTGATAAAGCTGTACTTGAGAACATGGCTGATCTGTGCCCACCCTGGTCCACAGCCCTTTTCCCGAGGTGGTGGGGGGCGGGCCCGCCTCTGGCTTCCTCCTTCTGTGGTGTGGGTGGTGTGGTATGTGCCTGGCACCTCTGGACGGATGCCTGCTGGAGCTTGGCTCCACACTGTCTTCTATCTGGGGGGTTAGCTGGTGAGACCAGCCCCAGAATGCCATGCAAGCTAAGCCGAGCTCTGCATTTCAGATTAAATAAGATCGCGAACCAGGTGGTCCTTCAGCGCAAGAAGCAGTTTGTGGAGCGGGCCCACAGCTACTGGCTGCTCAAGAGGCTGTCGAGGAACGGCGCGCCTCTGCTGCGGAGGCTCCAGTCCAGCCTGCAATCCCAGCGCAGCAGCCAGCAGGTACCGGCCCTGGGACCCGTCTGCTTCGGGGCCTGCCTGAGCATGCTGCGTGTGCGTGCTGACTGGGAAGTGTGGGAGGCCTATTGCTAGGCTTTAAGACCAGGTGTCAAGTTCAGCCGACTTCTCGGCTGTGGGCAGGGACGACTGAGAGGCTGAAGGTGTGGGGACACGGGGCCTGGGAGAGGTGGTGCAGGCCCTGCTCTCGGGGTGTCTCCCTGGGCCCCGAGGCCTGTGCAGACCCTGAGGGACACTCCTGTCTGCCTTTCTCAGAGAGAAAACGACGAGGAGCTAAGAGCCGCCAAGGAGAAGCTCAAGTACTGGCAGCGGCTGAGGCATGACCTGGAGCGAGCACGCCTGCTCATCGAGCTCATGCGCAAGCGCGAAAAGCTAAAGCGGGAACAGGTAAGCGGGCGCCCACGCGGGTGAGAGGACTGCACACTGCGTGGACGTGATGCTGGGACGTGACAGGAGGGTGGGGTGCTGGGTGAGAGTCACTGCATCTACGTAATGTGCGGCCGGTGTGTGTATGTGACGCAGGATGTGAGGGCGGGCCCAGTGTGTACGTGACGGTGTGTACGTGACGCAGTGACGTGTGGGCGGGCCCGGTGTGTGTATGTGACGCAGTGACGTGAGGGCGGGCCCGGTGTGTGTACGTGATGCTGGGATGGCTGGAAGCTGGGAGGAGTGGTGACGTGAGGGCGGGCTCTGTGCGTGGATAGGCCTCGGGGCCGGGCGGGCGAGATGAGGGGCCAGCGGCGGCAGGCTGATGGCGTTTGTGCACTGGCCAGGTGAAGACGGAGCAGATGGCCATGGAGCTGCGGCTGACCCCGTTCACAGTACTGCTGCGCTCGGTGCTGAACCAGCTGCAGGAGAAAGACCCCGCGCGGATATTTGCGCAGCCCGTGAGTCTGAAGGAGGTGTGTACTGCGTGGGCCCGTTCTGCGGGAGGGGGTGACAAGGGGAAACACTTGCTTAGTTAGGAAAGGCGTCTCCGCCCCCCAGAAGGGGCGGGGGCTGCTCTTGGAGCCGTTTAGTAGCAGCACTGCTGCTTCCTTAGCCAGGGAGCGCTGATACTGCGCATGCTTATACACTTGTGCGCTGGCACGTCTGTGGAAACAAGAGGTTACCTTCTGTGGTTTGTAAGTTGTTCTTTTTTCCTCCCTGGAACCAGGTACCAGATTACTTGGATCACATCACGCACCCCATGGACTTTGCCACGATGAGGCAGCGGCTGGAGGCTCAAGGGTACAGCGCCCTCACCGAGTTTGAGGAGGATTTCAATCTCATTGTAGATAACTGCCTCAAGTACAATGCCAAGGACACAGTGTTTTACCGAGCCGCAGTGAGGCTGCGCGATCAGGGGGGCGCGGTTCTGCGGCAGACGCGGCGTCATGTGGAGAGCGTTGGCTTTGAGGAGGCCACCGGCATGCACCTGCCTGAGCGGCCCCCAGCGGCGCCCCCTCGGCCCTTCTCCTGGGAGGACGGTGAGTGGCCAGGCTGGTTTTCATGTGCATGATGGCATCCTGTGTGTATCGTGCCTTGGGGGCTCTCAGTCCCGGCCCTGGCTCAGTGGCATGTGTCACTGGTGGCTGCTGTCCTCGCTTGCTACCTGAGTAAACTAGAAAGCTCCATGGTTCCCAGTCTTCGTGGATTCCTCCCTCTGAGGACTCCCGAGGGATAGTGTGAGCCCTTCGGACTCACTCAGGTATACTGTGTTGTGGTCTTCTCACATATGTGCGCCCTCCCAGGAGCCGGCTGGCTTCTGCACATTGACTCTGGAGCCTCAAGTGGGCCTGGGCTGCCCCTGGGCCACAGCCTCACAGCCGCTCTCTCTGGGTGGGGAGGCTGGGCGGCCCATCTCCTATCGCGCCTGGCCCGGGCCTTGGACAGAACAGAATCTGGGCCGGGTCTGCGCCGGCCTGTGTCTTAGCAGCAGGAGTGAGAAGCAGCTGTGTAGACGTGGGGCGCTTAGGCCTTGCGTGCCTCCTGGTGCCTCCACTCACTCACACACAGGACGGGCTTCACCTGCTTTGGGGGCCCCTTACCAACGTTCTCGTCTCCAGTTTCTCAGCTTTCTAGTTTGTTTCTGAGCTGAGTCTCATTCCTGTTGAGGTTGAAGTGTGCGGATTGGGAAGGGGCCTCTGCACCATCGCACGAGATGGGCGGGGTGTCGAGGCACTGCCCTGGTGCACTAACCAAAGGCTCTCCTTGGGTTTCAGTGGACAGGTTGCTGAACCCGGCCAACCGTGCGCACATGACCTTGGAGGACCAGCTAAGGGAACTGTTGGACAAGCTGGACCTGACCTGCTCAATGAAGTCCAGCGGGTCAAGGAGTAAACGGGCAAAATTGCTCAAAAAGGAAATTGCCCTATTGCGGAATAAGCTGAGCCAGCAGCCCAGCCAGCCCCCGCGGCCCGTCGAGTCAGGTATTGGCAGCTTCGAAGAGGACGGGGCTCCATTGGAGCAGGAGGCGGGGGACGCAGGTAAGCCGAGCATTGCCGCCTGGCTGCGCGCGCGGGGGACGCATTCAGTGTGGAGCGCTGGTCATCGCTGGCCTGACGCCCTGTCCTGCAGCTCTGATAGAGATGATGGTACACATGACTGCCCACGCTGTAGGGGGCGTCCTGGCGTCCACATCACTGAGCACGGAATTGTTCCTTCTCAACTGTTTAAAACAACTGAGATATCTTACATGTGTGGAGGAGTGAAGTTCAGGGCTAACAAAACCAGAGTAAGTAATTGCTGTTGGTGTTGACCACGCTGAGGAGGACCTCTCTCCTCCTGCTTGGGATGATCAGATGCAAGTGGGTGGAAGGGGTCATTTTGAGCAGCTGTTGCGTGACTATTCCTCTCGTAGCTTTGAAGGTGGCAGGATGGCTCTGCCCACCGCAGGCTCGTCCACACGTGGCAGGACTTGGGTCCTTCTCCCTAAGCTGATGACGCTAGGATGTTCTTGGTAATAGGAAGTCGGAGTAGGAGGACTTGTCTGCCTGACAGACAGTAGTGAGACCAAGAGCTGCCGCCGTACGTTTGGAGATGTGAGGCTTGCGTGCAGTTTTCTGTTGTGTGAGCGTGGAGCAGCTGGTGGAGAACGAGGCCTATTCTTATTTTAGGTTGATTGAAAAATACCATTTCCCATCTTTTCTAAAACACGGATCCTCTCTTCGCACCTCTCACCCCAACACACACACAATCACACCTACTCCTGTTAGCAGTTTGGTTTCTTGCATCTCTAAGTGAAAGGACCAAAGCTATTAAAGACAGCCAGACAAACACCCATGGTTCTTATGCAGTTTGCCTCATGTCCCCCCCCCCCC